AAGCTGCCTTATAGCCAAGTGATTTTTTTCTCATATTGGATATACTCCTACCTAACAGAAAAAGACCATCAACAAAGGAGAGTGGATGAAGAAAAGTTCACAGTTTGTGAAAACTCCTCACCAGATATAGACTCAGCACATACACAGTACAATATTCATTTTATATGAGGAAATGAATGACTACATCTAACCTTTCTCTTGCATGAGTCATACTGTTATGGCCTAGAGAAAATGTTGTGTTCATTGCATTATATAGATTATTTTGAACTGTCACGGATACAGAAACTGGTTTCTAACAAACTTTTTCTAGTTTTTTTTTCCAACACATACTACATGTTCTGCTAAACCTGACCAGGAAATATTTTGTATTCCCCACAATAAAAATAGTTTTGCAGGACATCAAGGTAGCTTTCTGCCAGATGGCTTCTGAAATATTATTAGAGCTAGTGATTGTACTTACAAGATTTCAGAGTGGAACTGTCAATTATTCAGCCATGACTCTTTCATTTGCTACTCAAGCCATACACTCAGCTCTCGAGTGGATATCTGGATTGTTAAAAAGTCATTACAGACATCTGAACAAAAAAAGGAGAAATTAGACAGATTCATCTCTATGCATTTGCCTGTACATATTTTCAATATAAATTTGGTATTATCCCATCATATCGTGTATTTTGAAGTGAAATTACATTACTCATAAATGAAATATTTTGACTGATTCAAGAACAAGATTTAAAACAGAAAAAACTTACTATGTTTTACCTTGTAACAAGAATGTTCTCAATTACCAGACAATGGACTATGTATCTTCTATACATCTATCTTCCAGTGGAGAGGCCACCCTTTTGCCTGTGCATTCCCTTTCCCAAAGGCTGCTGTGGAGTTATGAATGAAGTAGTTGGCTGTGATGTCCCAGGTGTGTCTGAGGCATCCTGAATCTCATTGGACCTTCTACAATTTCCCTTTCTACCACGGTCAAGGAATCTTTCACTCCTCTCACTACACTTCTAATAGCTGCTGTTTTCAAAAGTATCTGCTTGTTGTGATCATCTGTTTATTGGTTTCACATTTCTAAAGCTTGACAGATTCTGAACTGAACTGTATTTTACTGGACAGACTAAACCTTTTCAAGAACTGTGGCAGTGCATTGTTTATCATCATATTCTCACCGGTCAGCATGTTTCCTGCCTGTCCGCCTTCCTCAGCAAGGGTAGCGTGGACCTGCAGACTTTTCATTTTCCAGGACGTCCTTGCCACTTCCTAATACTGCCAGCTAGCCAGTAGTTATATCATCTTACAACTCACAATTGACAACTCTGGTCTGTGTGGGTCCTAATGCCCCAGTACAGTGATGGGGACACTACACTGTAAAAAGATGCCATCCTTCAGATGATAAGTAAAACTTGGCTTCTGACTCTCTATGGTCATCAAAAATCCCAGGGTGTTTCTTGAAGAGAGTAGAGATGTTACCCCAACTTCCTGGCCACATTTCCCATTGGCTTTTACTAATCGTGGACTCCTAATAATTCCCATCTATAAATTACCTTCATCACTCAGTTCTCCTCACCACTGATAACTGGTGTGTGGTGAGCGTACTGATGTACTATGGCTGTCGCATCATCCAGTTGGGGTCTGTGTATCACATTGCAGATTGCATGTTTTGTTACACTTTAGTTCCTAACTTTCTTTGGAGAAGTGCCAACTTCCACTTTTGCTGGTGAAGGCCAGAAGATAATTCATAAACATCTTCATTACAGTGATATCCCTAGGATAAACTGATTCATTTAAGTTAAATGGTAAGAAACTATAACAAATTAAACAGAATCATAAAGATGTACAGATGACAAAATTGGAGATAAACGCTCATGTTTTCTTTTTGTTTGTTTTTGTTATGTGCAGCAGCAACAAGCTGAAGTCTGGATATAGTGCAGTTGGGCATTCTAGACAGTAGTCTATTACAAATGTAATGTAATATTTAATACAGATCTTTGTCCTTCCACTTCCTGAGGCATGTGTTGACTTCTTACTTAGTGAACAACTGAGTAACATATTCTTTTAGATCATCAGACATTTCCCTTTCATTGTCTGGAGGTTTCCCTCTATTGTCCTGGATATATTTTGCTTAATTCTTAATGGTTCATCTGCAGCTGTAGTACTGAAAGAACCTTTAAGTATTTATTGTAGTCCACATTTCAATATTCTTTTCCATTTCTCTTTTGGCCTTTCTAATACAGGTTTTTACCTGTAATTTCAGTTCATTTTATTCCTTTTATTTAACTGGACCCTGTCATATTTTAATCATTTTATAAAGAGATTTCTTTTTCCCTTATATCTTTCTTACTGGGTTTGTTTGACCATTAGGGGTACTGTTTCTTAGTTTTTGACTTACTCACTCTTGAGATACGTCGGATCTGTATCTCAAGTAGAATCTGTTTAAACTGTTGCCATCCATTCCCCGCTGATTTCATATCTATCTTATCCTATTGTACTAACCTTAAACTCTCTCGTTTTTTAATGTCTGATTTTACTGAATGTAAACATCTAAATCTCAGACTCTACCTAAGCAGTTTCAAAATAGCTCTCAAAGCACAACATATTAAGATCAGATTTCCCTAATGGTTCTCACATTCCTGTCTGTCTCGCTGTCTTAATTGCATGAAAAAACAAGATCAACACAAGCATTTCCTCTTGTAGGTGTTCCAATAAACTGGGTAACAGAGCAATCCTTAACCATGTCTGTTATTTTGGTTACCACTGCTGACATTCCTTATAGTTTTTTTCCCACTCTATGTTGGGAAAGCTGAAGTCTCTCATAAAAACTACTTCTTTTTACATATATTCAAAATGTTACCATGTGTTTGTTGAATTATAATCACATTTCGCATTTGGTGATGTATAGCATTCTCATATAACGATACTTTGGAATGTTTTTTTAACAATTCTAACCCATATGAATTTAAAGACTCTTGATTCCTCTATCTTAATTTCCTAAGCCTGAATGTCCTTTTTTTGCTATATATTGTGCTATACCTCTCCCTCTCAGGTGGTTTCTGTCTTTCAGGAATTATGTGTATCCACTGATGTTACATTTATCTCTATTTTGTTTAGTTAGCCATGTTTCTGTGATTCCAGTAGCATTCGAATTGCCTGCCAATGTGGTGGCCTCTATCTAATCTAATGTGTTTGGTCATACTCCTGGCTTATAGGTAAAAGCATGTAATTTCCTGGTCCTTTCATTGTTTTTTCCAGTTGGTTCCCCCTTGATCTTGCTCCCTTTGTAACTTTCTTTCAGATTTTCCTTAATTTCTCTCCCCTCCTATTCTAAGTTCAATATTGATAGATTTCATCATGGTTTGATGTGACAAGACATCTCGTGTTCATCACATTTAGATGCAATCTGTCACATCTGTACAGATGGGCTTTGCCATGGAAAAGTTTACAGTGGACAAAAAAGCTGAAGCCTTTTTCTACACACCACATCTTCATCTATGCGTTGTGTTGTGTTGAAGGATTCATATTTGAAGCTCTTCACCTTTGATAGGTGCTAGTAGGATTCCTGAGGAAACTTCAGATTTAGTTCTGTTTAGTTTATTTTAACATGAGTACATAATATAGTGCATAAGGTGCACATAAAATATGAATAGATATTAAAAGGTACAGGTAGGCAACAGACTTGCATTCAGTCAATGCCAGCTATGAATGTTGACAACTATGCCTTCAGTCTTTTGTCTGCTCTTGTGGGACAATAGGCTGATGAAGGCTTGCAGTAGATTATATTGTACGCAAATTCAAAGCTGGATCTACCCAAGCAGCAATTGTCAAAGTCGTAAAGGGTCAATTGGTTTCCAGCATGCAGTGGTTCAGACAGCAGCAAATTGATTTACTCAATACTGATAGAACGCACCATGGCTCCAGTGTTTTTGCCCTACATTATTCTCCATCTTTCTATCTTAACACTGGTAAAAAATAAATTCCTTATACAGATATGCACGAGTCATTGTTAATGAGGTCAGAATTTTCATGTCTTCCTCCTCTTGTAAGAACATTCTCTTAAATTTGTAGCAGTCGTATCAATGTTATTCAAATAATGTTGAAGAAACAGACTTCTAAATGCTTTTTTCCAAGTCTCTTTCTGTAAATGCTTTTTAGGACTAGGACTTTTTAAAATTGTAGTTACACAGTTGCTACTTCTGCTTCTATATTATTAGCAAATTGTAAAAAAAAACTGTATATTATATTGTTTTTTTACAATATTCCATTATGTTGTTTTCTCAGATTTCCTAAAGCTAAATTCCTAAAGCTATCCTGCAAGCTACAATCGAATCTGATAATAAATGTCCTCATGAAGAGTTTAGATCTAGGTTTAAAATCTGATTCTTATTTAATTTTCAGACTCCTTGTTTGAGCTATTATTGAGTTAAATAGCTCATTTGCGATTAAGTCTTCTGTAAAAAGGCGCCTAAGACTGCAATCCAGGTCAACGTAAAAGTGAAAACAAGCAAGTTATTGGTGTTTTGAGCGCACAGGAGCAATTTTGTTTCATACTTTTAAAACTTTCAGTTATTAAATAATTAATTTAATTTCATAGTAGTTTTAAGCCTTTAGTGCTTAATTAAATAAGATGAAAGCC